ATGCACACAGGCAAGGCTAACTTGCTACAGAGCTTCCCTAGCAGTGTGGGGATTCTGCACTGGAAACAAATGGTGGCAAATAAAGAACAAATAAAACATCCCCTCCAGTATCAGCAATAGCTGGTGACTGCGCTGTCTGTACCATTGGGGAGCAGGACAGCAATGCACTGCAGAAAGCAGCCATGCTCGTGTGTTCTGTCTCCCACTGCCACTGCCGGGTTGATCTATTGGGGTACCTTCTGTGTTCCTATAAAGCGAAAAAGTGAAGCAGTTCCTGGAAGATGGCTATTTGGACGAGTGATCTTTGCTGTCTTGCATCCATTTCTTCTAACTTGCTGCTGACTGATCCTGTACCTGATAGAACATGGAGATTCAAGAGAAATACAGGAAGGAATTAATCCCAGGAGCAAAGACAAGGCAGTGGACCAAAAAGGAGGAAGCAATTGTTAAAATACAAGCCTCAACTATCTCAGCAGTTATGGATAGCTAGCAGAAAGTACTGTGTAATGTGCTAATATGTGCTTTGTCATGTCTCTGAAAGCTTCTCCTAACATTTGAGACCTTTTAGAGATTTTCTCTTGACCAGATCATAGTTGCTAAAATTTTCAGCTAGGCTTTTGGGAAGACTTTTTGTTCTTTTGCATGCTTTGAACAGCAAAGGAGGGTAGGCTTGTCCCTCTGATTTTGTTTCGTTTCCGAAGTCACATTAGGAAGACTGAATGCTGCAATTGGGGCTTGTTAGCCATGTGTTAGGAGCTTTGCCTGGTGACAACGTGTCATGAGTGGTGGTCACTCCAAAAGCAGGCTCTGCCAAGGCTGTAAGGGGCTCCTTGGGAGTGACAGTGTCGTCCTGTGAAGAGGGAATTGCAGGCTGCCCAACAGGCTTGGATACAAGGGGAATGGACTCAGGCATCATAAATCCTCTGAGATGCCTCTGGGTGAAGTTTATGACTGAGAAGGATGACTAAGGAAAATCACTTGAAAGTCTGTCTTTGTGGCACTTTGTTGGCTTTTTCTCTGTGCTAGAAAGAAGACAAGCAAGTATTTTCTTGTGGTAACCTTAAGCTATTCTCAGCATTTCTAAAGGCTTCTTTTCCTTAACCATGTACGAGTACAAACAGGTGCTTGTTTGGTCTCTCCTGTCATATCAGATTTTTAAGATTCAGAAATCGTCACATCATCCTTTTTTTTTGTTTAGTGTAATGTCCTCTGTGCTGCTAGTACATAATTTATAGAATACGAAGAGGTTCTCCCATTTGGGATCAGTACTTGCCCTTCTTACCTATTGAAAGAGATGAGTGCTGCCTCAGAAATTTGCCCACTCACAGAAATCAATGCACAGCATCTGTTCTGAATTCCAAATTAACCCCAAATGCCATGATTGAGTTCTGGTGTACTTGATGGGAGTTTGTTGAGGCAAGGGTCCACTACAAATCGTACTTCTGCTGCTGTTATAGGCAAACCAGGGTGAAATTCTACCATTCGTGGTCACCAGATACTTCATCTGAACAATGCAAAACAGCTTAGGGAATGTGCTGCCACAGGATTTCTTAGCAGCCAGTAACTCTGTGTGGTTCTACGAAGAGAGCATGTACAGGAAGAACAGGAAAATCCAGTCACAGTAAAGGCTGAGAAAGAATTTGAGATTTTTTAGCTCAAGGCATGAACAAAGATTATGGTAGAGCAATAGTAGAAACTATCCCTGTGGGCAAGGACACGTTCCGTAGGGTTGCTGTATGTCTGGAATGGTCTGGAAGAGGTCTGGAGACAGGCCATGGGGCAAGGACACAGCCTGCTGGACTGCACTGATGGCAATCTCCTCCCCACCCTGTATTCTCCAGGCAGCCACACCTGAACTCACCTGTCTGGCCTGGAGATGAGGAAGATAAGTGGAAAGCAAAGGACAGCAAGTGAGCACAGATCCCAAGTAACATTATCAAGAGAAGTGATGAGAGCTGTGTTTGGCTGTGCATGAGCTCAACCAAGTCTCCCCAAAGGACAGAATCCAGAGCAGGAGACACTGAAGGAACCCCGAAAGGCCGGGAGAATGTACTGGTTAGGAAACCAGTGGGAGATAAGTCTCTGGAGAGCACAAGGATATTCAAAGCAGCAGAGAAATCAGAAAAGGGCAGAGCCACCTCCTTTGAGGAGGTGCTTGAAAGGGGGCAAAAGCCAAGGCGAGGTGACTCAGGGCAGAGCAGAAGGAGGCTGCACCCTGCTGCGAAAGGCAGCAGTACCTCTGGAAATGCAGAGAGGCCTGCCAGGAGGACAGCTACCCACAGCTTTCTGTTCCTCAAACTGCTCCTCTGACAGGACAAAGAAGGAAACGTGATGCTACAAGCTTTCCCTAGCCACTAATCACGGCACAAATTCTATAGCTCAAGTTGGTGGCACGTGTTTGTGCTTAATGGGCAGCGCAGGGCTCTCCAGTGGGTTGAGCACTCCTCCAGCTGCTGCCTTTGCAGCACAGCACCATGAGCTTCTTCATTCTGCTTACCCAGCTGTCCCCAGGTTGCACCATGTAGAGGAAATTATGGAGAGTTCAGATGGAGAGGACTGTGGAGCTATCCTTCCATGCTGACTTCCTGAAGGCAGGAGAATCCCGGTTACTAAGGGTAGAGCCAACTTCGGAAAGGTCCATCACGCAATGCTCCTAATGAATCAGAGAAGTGTCGCTTGCTGATGTTCCTCAGTCAGCACAACCCCCTGCCTGCTACCTGCTAGTTTTCCTAAGTAGACACAGAGCTGACTGAAGCCAGCAGAGCTCGACAGAGTTTCAGTGTGTGCTAGTGCTCCAGTCTGCTATGCAGGGGCTGAGCCAAGTCCACCACTCTCCTGCTCCATCCTTGGCCGTAGCTAAGCCAGTTTCTGAAAGCCTCGTGTTCAAATGAGTAGTGCTTTTTAGATTACAGAGTTGGCAGTTAAGAAGTAAAGCATCTGGGAAGCATTTCTACTCACCTGCCCGCCTGGGTGATTCTTCACCTGTGTGTCTGAAGATGTCCAAAAGGCATCTCTCCGCAGTTTTCTCCATGCTGACCATCTTGCATGCCAGTGACAGTGGTCAGTGTCAGATGGTCACGAGGTGCAAGGATGTCATTCAAACCCCCTTTTGCTCACCTCAGTCTTCCATGAACCTCCTCCAGATGCTGCACATCTGGTGACTTCATCTCCAGGAATTCGAGAGTGCATGCAGAATCTTAGAATCATAGAGTGGATTGGGTTGGCAAGGACCTTAAAGATCACCTAGTCCAACCTCTCTGCTATGGGCAGGGACATCTTTCACTCGATCCGGTTGCACTAAGCCTTGTCCAAACTGACTTTGAACACTTCCAGTGATGGGGCATCCACAGCTTCTCTGGGCAACCTGCTCCAGGGGCCACTCCTCTTTCTCCTCTTCATTAATGACCTGGATGATGGGTCAGAGTGCACCCTCCGCGTGTTCGCAGATGATCAAAAACTGGGACGAGCGGCTGATACACCAGAGGGTTGTGCTGCTGTTCAGGGGTGACTGGCCAGGCTGGAGAAATGAGCCTCATGAAGCTCAACAAAGGGATGTGCAAAGTCCTGGACATGGGGAGGGTAAACCCCAGGCACCAGTACATGCTGGAGGTATGACAACCGGCCTCGAAACTTTCTGGCCTTTGCTGCCTTCAGGAATCGCAGGCCCCTGAGGCCAGAGGAGGTGCCTGGAGTGAGGAAGACTTCCCCTTGGGAAGGGAGAATTGGTTTCAGGAACATTTAAACAAACAGGACAGACACAAGTCCCTGGGAGCAGATGGGACGTCCCCGGAGCGCTGAGGCTGAAGGCCTTCCGAGACCACCCTCCATCACCTGTGTAATTACGGCCATGGCGATGGGGAGAGGTTCCTGGGGACTGGCAGAAAGCAAGTGTCGCTGCTGTCTTCAAGGAGGGCAAGCAGGAGCTCGCAGGGAACTACAGGCTGGCCAGCCTCACCTTGATCCCTGGGAAGGTGATGGAGCAAGTAATCCTGGAAACCATTTCCAGACACATGGAGGACAAGGCGGCCATCAAGAGCAGTAGATCAGCATGGCTTTATAAAGGGGAGGTAATGCTGCGGCAACCTGATACAGTACATGCCAGAGGCTGACAGACCAGCTGGAAAGCAACTTGGCAGGGAAGGCCCTGGAGGTCTCCTGGTGGACACCGAGTTGGACATGAGGCAGCAGTGCACCCTTGGGGCAACAAAGGCCAAGAGCCTCCTGGGCTGCATTAGGGGGAGGTGATCCTTCCCCTCTCCTCAGCCCTGGTGAGGCCACCTCCAGAGCACCATGTCCAGTTGTGGGCTGCCCAGTACAAGAGAGACACAGACATCCTGGAGGAAGCGCTGCAAAGGGCCACAAAGATGATGAAGGGACTGGAGAAGTGGTCCTAGGAGGCTGGGGGTGGCTCTGCTCACGGTGGGAACCTCCAGATTCCTGGGACCTGGCAGCTCCCACAGTCACAGAGAGGCTTTGAATGGAGAGGTGTCCCCAGATGGAGAGACTGCTTTGTGGGCTGGAGGGTGATGCCACCATGGACTGGGGGAGGTCCGTTGCAGGGGCTCTCCATGATGGGAGCTCCACCAGGAAAGAGGGAGCCAAGAGAGGGTTCAAGGCTTTTATTAGTGGCCCCCTGAAGTCGAGGGGGCCCCAAAGCTGCACGTGGGTGCCAAGTGCTTGGCAGCCTCGGTGCCCAAGGGCAGGTGCCCCAGGGACAGGAACAGAGAGATCCATCAGGTCCAGAGCAGCTCGGCAGCTGAGAGGTGCTGGCGGGCTGGGCACGGCAGGCGCAAGATCACCTTCTCGGGGGACATGGGGGTCAGGGTGGGGCCTGGGGGAAGCGCATCGTCTGGGAGACCCCTGCACACTCCCACCCCAGCGTCCTGGCCCCTGGTGCCCCAGCTGCCCCCAACGCCCCCTAATGTCCCTCCAGTGCCCTCCCAGCCCCCCACCTTGCAGTCCTGGGGCAGCGGCTGCCTTTCGGGGAAGACGGGGGGCCGCTAGGTCTGGCACAGGAGGCACTGCAGGTCGGTGGCATCGAAGGGCATGCAGCCCCGGAGCAGGGCATAGAGGATGACCCCGGCGCTCCAGGTGTCTGCCAGGAAGGGGTCGCAGGGCTGCGCCTGCAGGGTCTTGGGACAGGTCTCAGCATAAGGCCACAAAAATGATGAGAGGGATGGAACACCTCTCCTGTGAGGAAAGGCTGAAAGAGCTGCGGTTGTTCAGCCTGGAGAAGAGAAGGCTGCGGGGGGACTTATTGCAGCCTTTCAATACTTAAAGGGGGCCTACAAGAAAGATGGGGACAGACTTTTTAGCAAGGCCTGCTGCAACAGAGGTGGTAGATGCCCCATCCTTGGAAACATTCAAGGCCAGGCTGGATGGGGCTCTGAGCACCCTGATCTAGTTGAGGAAGTCCCTGCCCATTGCAGGGGGGGTGGACTAGGTGACCTTTAAAGGTCCCTTCCATCCCAAAGCATTCTGTGATTCTATTCTATGATTCATAGGACCCGCAGAAGGTCTGGCTCAGCGCTGCTTTGGCAGGCAGCCCCGCATGTGGCATCCTGCAGGGCCACGCTCCTGGAGAAGCTGGAGATGGATATCTTCATGTTGCCCTTGCTATCCAGGAGAAGGTTTTCCAGCTTCAAGTCCCTGTGGGGGAGAGGCAGCACCTGCTGGGGGCAAGCAGGGGCAGATGTCAACTGTGGGGAGGCGGAGGTCAGGGGCCACGGAAGGAGCTGTGGGTAGATGAGGGGCCGGGGGCTGCTTTGGGAAGAGGAGGGCTTGGACTGGGAGCTGTGGGACAGGTGGCCATGTAGAGGGAGGGTAGGTAGGAGTGTGGTGCAGCAGGTGGAGGTGTGGAGGCAAAGAAAGGCTTCCAGGAGGCCCTTCATTGCCTGGGCTGGGGGGAACAATGCTCCAGGCAGCATGGCCAGGGCCCTGCAGAGCCCTCGCTGCCTCGGGGAGCCCTGTCCCCAGCTGCCAAAGCAGGGACCCCGTGCCCCCGTGCTCACCCACCGGTGGACGATGGCCCTGCTGTGCAGGTAGGCTAGAGTGAGGAGCAGCTGGGAGAACCAGAGCCCTGCCTGGCCCTGGGAGCAGGGCCCCTGGCTCTACACCCACTCCAGGATGCTCCCCGAGGGGGCCAGCTCCATGAGGAGGTAGAAGCCCATCCTCATCTCCATGCCTTGGTACAGCGTGATGAGGTGCTTGTGGCACAAGCCTTTCAAGACCTGTGGGCAGCAGGGGCTTGACGTGGGACAGGCCTGCCCCCCTCTGGCCCCCCTTTGCCTTGCACCCCCTGCACCCTTCTGCCCACCAATGCTCCCCTAACCCCTGGCAGCTCCCCACAAAGCGTCCACCACGGCTGCCACCCTGCTGGACCTCCCACCACCAACAGCTCCCTGCCCCTCTGAATCCCTGCCCATTGCCCCCCGGTGCCCCCAATGCCCCCCTACGCCACGGATTCCCCCAACCACTCCCTGCTCCTCTGACCCCTCCAACACCCCTGCCCCATTGAGCCTCCCAGTAGCACCACTGCCCATGAAGCTCCCCAAAGGGTGCTCCCCCTGCCCCCCTTAGCCCCCGATGCCCCAGGGACCCTCTGATGCCCCACAGCATTTCACGATGCTCAGGGGCCCCCCTTGCTGCCCCCTGCTCCCTCTGCCTGCATCTGATGGGACAGGAGCTTCCTGAGGTCTTCCTCCAGTGCCTGCCTTCCTTTTGGAGATGACCTTGACGGCCACCTTGTGCCACAGTGGGGGGGCTGCACCCTCATGCACCTCCCAGTAGGCACCGTGAGCCAGCAGCGGCCCCAGCTGGAAGCCCATCTTCCCCAGCACCAGGACGGTCTCGGGGTCGGGGGGTGCCTCCACCATGCCTGTGGGCAGCACAGATTGGTGGGGGGTCAGGCAAGGCTGGGGGGACCCTGGCTGGAACCAGGTGCCCCCTGGCCCCCAGGACCCCTCACCCTCCTCTGGCTGTTCCCTGCGCTCCTGCTCAGGGCTTGGCCCCCAGCACAGCTCATGCCAAGGCCTGGTGAGTGCCAGCAGCAGCCACCCACCCACCGATGACCCACCAAGGCGGGGTGACAGGGAGGACAGCCGGGATGTCTGCAGGGCACTGCGGGCAGCAGCAGACGAGGTCCCTCCTCTCCTGCAGCTTTGAAGCAGTAGCTGGCCTGTCCTTTCTGAGAAGGCTCCTCCAAGCCCCCCAGCACCACTGATAGCCACAGCCGAGACCCAGCCCCCCAGCTGGAAGGTCAACCTGAGCTGGCCTAGAAGAGCCCTTGGAGCAGCAGCAGAGCTGAGGTCCCCAACTTCTGCTGCCCAGGCAGCAAGAGGGGACAGGTGATAGCAAAGGGCTTTCTGGTAAAACCTCTTCCAGAACTCTTTGGCAAGCTTGCAAAACGACAGTTTTGCTCTTTGCAACAGTCCCTGCTCTGTGCAAGCACATCCTTCACGACCAAGGCTAGGCTGGAAATCAAGACTGGCACAGGGCACGTGTCGCTGCTTGTGTCCTTGCACTAGGCATGCAGGGCTCCGGCTGGAAAAGGCAGCTGCTGAGTGGCTGAGGCAGCGGGACGCAACTCCTCTGCTGGCAGGTTCAGGAAAATTCAGGCCTAAACACACCTGCTTGGCACTGGGAGGAATCCAGGGGCCAAATAGCAGCTTGTTGAAGCTGAGCTCCTCCAGGACCAATCACCAGAGGAACTGCAAGGAAAGCCAATGCAGAACTCGATGTGACAACTTACGAGAGAGAACGGCGATAGCCACGAACTCTTCAAGCAAGTGGCTTTTACCGCTCACGCTGGCGCACTGCCCTGCTCAGAATCACCCTGACAGTTGTGCTGATGCTTTGGCCAGGGTCACTCGTGCGTGACACGGGAGAAGGACAACAGCAACCACGGCCTCTCTCTGCTCCTGGGGAACCTCGAGTGCCGATGGCTGTCAAGCCAATGATGACGATCAGCACGCTGACAATAAGCTGTTGGACTGATCTGTTATAACAGACTAAGGGAAATTTTTTCCCTGTGTGCCATGCCAGGTTTGTTCACCTGGTGACTTTGAAAAGATCATGCTCCTGCTGAGGCACCTCTGACGCAGCCAGCGCCCCCCCCTTCGCTCCCCACTGATGTGCCAGATCCCGCCTGAGAGCGCGCCCTGTGCGGAGCGGCCGCGTAGGGCCGAGGACCCAGTACAGGTTTCCCAGTAACAAGCCCACACTGCACACCACAATGCAGGCTGTAGGCAAAAGCTTCACCTGCTCGAAGTCAGGGTGATCCTTACCGCTGGCTTGGCTAAAGCGAACGGGAGCTCTTGCAACAGGCCAGCAGCCATCCGCTTAAGCACGCTGACAATAAGCTGTTGGACTGACCTTAGACCCTCTAGGCACCACGAGCCCTAACGAGATGGCCCTTTGCCAGCAGGTCCTGCTCAGTTCGGGTCCATGAACTCGAGGGCAGCTTGCTGCCCGCTGGCTGCGTTTCCCCATGTAGAACACCAGCTGGAAGGCAAAGTCTGCAGGCTGTTGGAAGCTGTCCTCCTACCGCGAGGATGCCGGGCCACCTGCCAACGAGTTGTCCGAGTTGCCCCACGTGAACATGGCAGTGTCCTGGGACCCCCGTCCCGGGAACAGCCTTCTCCATTACCCGCAGGGGCACGGCTCTGGCTGTGCTGGGCCTCGCAGCGCTTCCACACCCACATTTCCACCCGCCCCGGGATCCATTCATCCACCAGCTTGCACCGACCCCATTACTCCCACCAACAGCCTCCCCAAAGCCGTACCTCGGTGCACGGCAAGCCCCTGCCCCGCACAGGTG